CCAAACAATCACTTAAGACCTCTCTTTTGTTTACCAACCCTATACAATATGAACATCTATCTCAAACCGTCCCCGTTAAACGATGCAAAATGAACGTTTTGTTACTTGCCTATACATACCCATACAGGTTTTGGTATGAGCAGACAAAATTTTAATGGTTACCCTAAGTTATGGCAATCAAACTCAAGAGTTTACTAAATTAATGAAAGTTAAGAAACACAGATTATGCACAAAATTATTGATAAGTGAATGATCATATGTTGGGGTGCGTGATAGACTTACTTTGATATTCCTCCCTTTTGTGAAACTATCATAAAGCCTGTCATTTGGTTTTTAAACAGATAAATGGCCATTGTCCTAGGTCAGCATAACTAATAACAGGTGCAATGTCAACTGAGCTAATCAAATGTCAGAAGTCTGCCAATCGATGTTTACATTCACTTTTAGTAAGATCGAAATTAATTGATGCAATTGCAAAGCAAAGCCTCCTCGCATTAGAAGTTGCAAAAGGAAAAAATTGCCGATCAGATAATGATAAGTAAAGCAATTTAAAGATGAGACGCCTTATTTATGTGACCAAAGTCAAGGATTTGGGAATGAAGTCGAATCATTTAATGCCAACTGCAGGAAATACGAATGTGAGCGGGAGGATTTTCTCACCGCAACTCGTTCGCATTTGTATCTCCGTTGTGTTGGCTTAGAGTAGTGCTCAAATTCAATTTCCATACACGCTGGCCGATTAACTGGTGACAGGTCCTTACTTGAGACTTTCGAAGAATTAACTAGTACCAAGACTTTCTCATAGAAGTTGTCAAAACACTTTGCTTTCCTACGTAGTTTTCGAAGATGAACAAATGGGATGTGTGAATCGTTTCGTATTTCTACCATTTTTTGTGCAACGCGATGTACCATGACAACTCCTTCAGTAAGCAAAAGACGTTGCAGCGATTATTGATTGCCACTTGGTTGAGATGTTTCCGTATTCACGATCACACTTGCTCCCTTTGCGACAAGAAACAAGGTCGCATTTTTTGTACTGTTCGAGCCTGTTTGGGCTCTTTACAACGTCATTTAATTGGTTTGTGCAGGCCTTAATGAATAATAATTACAATCATGGAACTGGGAACCGACACTAAAGCGAGAGATGACTCAGTTGCATGCACAAACGACTAAGCACCTGGACACTCGAAATTGTGATCACAGGTTGGTAGAGGGAGACTAACAATTGGAAGTCGACAAAGCTGTGCTGGCAGTGCAATTCAAAACTCTGACACATGACAACGGAAATATACAGAGACAAAAATACCTAAGATGAGGGCAAGCCCTCAGTATGCATGTACTCAATGTGTGACTTGTGGGATTCTTTAATTTCTGTTTAACTCTTCAGGTCATGAAGTCTAGCTAGCCGTGGGGGCGGGAGTTGTGGGGAGGGTGAAAGTTGGATGCTTATATATCTTAATGCCCAATGAAACCAATTTTCCAGACAACATATGCACCATTAAATTTGTCAAGCAAGGCAAAAACTATTTCCTGATTGCAATAACGGTTAATTAAAATCGTGATTAATTTAAAGCAGCCCTTGACAGTGCAATAGTAAGGTGACGGGAGGGAAATGTGAAACACGTCCATCTTAATATCGATATGCAACTTTAAAAAATTACAAATAACTAATATAAATGAAATGCAAAGTAACTTGGTTATGTACCTACCCTAGTTGTTGCACAAAATTGTCCTTCTGACAAAATATTTAGCTTTGTACCCTAAAAGGAACATGAAGATGTCCATAAATCTCAAACCAATCAAAGATCAACTTAACCCAATAGAATGGTTGCTTCAATCAGTAACTTCGACGCGGGTTCATTCAACAGTGTTGCCGTAGTCAAACTAAGGAGATTTAAGAGTTGCGTTGTTTAAGTGGTCGTAACTTTACTCTCACTTTAGGAATGATAGGTCGACTTTGATGTGAGTAGATAAGATCATTATGAAGGCAATCTTTTTAGAGTCTCGCGTCATGGTAATGCATCCTCTTTACTAGGAGGTCTACCAATGAGCATTTATCACGTGACCTCTCACTTAATGGGCATGTTAGTCACTTTTTCATCCTTTTTTTTAAACTTGCTCATTGGGTATGCAGTTGACACAACGCAGCATTTCTGATTTCAATGACTCACTAAAATACTAATCTTCGGGAGACATAACAATTAATATGCATCAAATGTGATTTCAAGTTATGACTTATCTTTAAAATGCCGAGTTGCGACGTAGTGGTTACCCTACATTAAACTTTAAAATTTCGGAATTAGGTATTGATCACACATTTAATTGTTTGTATTAAGAATTTTTAAGCACCTTTGTGGACATCCCTAATTATATAGCTGTCATCAGACAAGCCGAATGCATTTTATAAACTTGAGTTTTTAATTAAATTTTATCACAACGCGCCTCATCCTTGTTTGGCTGGCTTGGTGAAATAAGTCATTAAGTGGCAAATGCGATATCAGATAGCTCTTCATATATGTCTGTTACTTTGAAAAGGTTTCACGAGTTCACACTAATGGCAGAGGATAGACAGAATGTCACTAAAGATTGGTGTTCAACTGAGTTCAAGGTTTCTTGGATTTGTTTCATTTCTGAAATGAATGAAAGCGAATATATTATTTACTCGCAGAGTCTGTTCGAGAATATTTTTGACTCTATAACCGGTATTTGGGGGGGGGGGGGGGGGTGTTCGCTATATACTTACCTTCACTTTGTGTACCCTGGAAAACGTATACTCATATGTCAAAAATAGTCCCTAAATCTTTGTCTCTCTCTCCCTCTCTCCCTCTTTTACATCTGCCTATCTGTGTGAAATTCCCACAATTCCGCAAATGCATCGCCGAGCTGGGCAATGCAGTGAAGATTGGATATCAGAGTAAAATAAACGCCTAATCCTTTACTGAAAAAGTTACTCATATTTGGGGTTTTGCAATTTTGATTCTACGTGACACTTCAGGCACTGTCAGATGTGGAATGTAAGTGGACGAAGTAACAAGAATAATTGTTGAATAAGTGATTTCCAAAGTTATAGAGAGCGATTCTTGCTTACCCTAAGGAAGTTCGAATGAGTAATCAATGGAGGACATGATTGTGTTTACATGGTATTCCATTAATGTTACATTCATCATGATGATATTTGAAGAGGTTATCTCCTAAAATATAACTTTTACTCACCAGATATTTGCTGACATTGAAGCAGTATGACATGACAACAGAGTTCAAGTGCACCCACTCTTATTTTCTCTATTCCTAATTATTTTCTTATATTTGGTTAAGTCAATCTCCTTTGGAGCAGCATTGATAATTAAATCAACAACTATACATTGGTGCACCGGAATTCAGCATTATTGGACAACCAGCCACATTACTACTTCTTAACTTGAAAAATGCAACCATATTTAAATGACAGACTAAAACTCAAAATATGAATGCTGGAAAATGTGGGAAAATCAATATAAGCCCAAGAGTTCAAGAGATGAGTCCTACTAATGAGGACGTTAAAGAAGAGAGAAATAAAACAATCAATTGGGCCTTCTGCACCCCCATTTTATCGATTTGATCGCTTCGCTTAATGACAATTTTTGTTATGGTAAATATTCTGATCAATATATGACTAACTTGAATTAATTTGCAAATCATGAAGATTGGCATGACCTCTCACCATGTTGAGGCAAAATTTTACTGAATGCTCACAGCTAACAGCGCACCCAGCGATGGTTAATTATTTACTCCCACCATCTCAATACTTTCTCACAACTATTGAGTTTCCTTGAAAGAGGAGAATAGCTGCGCTTAGAGCCATTATGAAAATCGATTTTCACACCAAAACTCACTGAGGCTCATCAAATTCCGTTTGGTTGACTCTCTGAAGTGGAACTCATGTTTGCTTAAAAGACTGTCTAGCATTTGAGAAAAATAGGGAAAATCAATGGGAAAATATTCTTCTGAAATAACAATTAACGCTTAATTAGCTTAAGTGAACTTTTATAGAGCGCTTTATTGTTCCCACTTTGTCAACATGAAATTATAGCCTTAACGACCGGCACCCCTGTGTTTCCTTCTTACTAACTGCCATATTGGCTTATTGATCGGTAAAACGATATGCAAAATGCGAAAGTTTCTGCCAACTTGTATGCATTTTCGAAGGAGTTGGGATCATAAAAGCCTGTTGTCATCTACAACTAGATTGACACCTTTTCTCTGAGTGGTTAGTGGTGAGTTGAGAAGGGTTCATGCACACCAACAATTTAAGGGTTCAACTTACCTACGTCTACATGCGCATTTCTAGCACGCAAATGGTGCTTCTGGGTACACAATGTTATAAAAGAACAGCTTCTATTGAGAACTTTTTTGCAGCTGTCTTAACACTCCAGTCGATTGTCTGATTTGCCTCGGTGTGGCCTCATTCTACATACGTTGCCGTCTAAAGAAGAGATATTTACCATTGTTTTATGGGTAAGGAATCGTTTAAATTAACCAGGACGATGTTACCTGGCAATAAACCAAAATTCATATTCATTATTTTGATACCTGTTAACTATTTTATTATGAGGTTTTATTCACCATAGCGTTAAACGTTACCTTAGAATTATTTTGTAAATAATATTTTAATTTTCTTATTATAGTTTTATGGGTAAGGAGTTGTTTAAATTAGCCAGGAAGTTATTACATTGCAAATAACCGAAATTTACTTTCACTATTCTGATATTTGTTTACTAATTTAATCTTTAAATCGTTGAACGTTGTCTGTCAAGTGCATTCAATTTTAATGTTTTTAAAGGTACTTCTCATAAGGAATGTTAAATGTTTCATTCTCATACATTTCCAAGTTGAACCATGCTAATAAATTTAAATTTTAGGGTTATTTTTAATATTTGAGCATATATATATATTATTTTACTCAGATATATTCATTTTTGTAAGTTCTAACCACACAACTAAACTATTCGTACATATGACAGATGCAACACGAAAACTGCACCCTCTCGACAAATGTTGGTATTGGTGGAATTGTTGGAGTTTCGTCTTAGTTGTAGCAGCACTGGGTCTACTTGCAGTGGAAATTTACTTCGAGGATATTGAAAGGAACTTGATAGTGAAAGTATGTTTTACTTTCGTTTTCCTACAATCACATCCAATCCATTAATCACACACACTTCTCCTCCATTTATCATAGAGTTTAATTCTTTCGAATGATTCTCAAACTTCCCAAATACTCACCCAGAAGACCATCGTCGATCTTCAAGTCCACCTCTTCAATATTACGAACTCTGAAGAAGTTGTTGGTTCAGAGGCGAAACCAAAATTGCAGACAGTTGGGCCATATGTATATAGGTAAGCGGATAAAAAATAACTACTTTGAATTTGAGAAGTGTTTTTAATTTTTATTCGATAAAAAATCGATTTCCACAGTGCTGGAAATCGTTGGTCGGAGAACAGGCCAACACTTGGATGCAGTTATATTGGTTTTCAGCCAAATTTGATCTTCGGAAAAAGTGGTTAAGCGCAAAATCATTTACTAAGATGAAAGAAAAATAAGAGCAGTTAATAGGCATAACGAAGACGTTAAGACATCTTTATCTAAAAGGCTTCTAATTACCTCTTAAGTACCCCTCATAGACTTGATCATTACTCAGGTCTCTGAAAAGTACTTGCTCATTGAACAGGCAGACCACATCAAATAAGTGGACCTTATCCCATTGACAGAGCCCTTTGCCGACAAATGTTAAAGTTTGTTGGCTTTTTCCTGCCAAATCTGGAGAGGCTTCCATTTATTCCCAACTCTTTTATTAACAGAAGAGAAACGAAAAAGGAGGATATTACCTACACGGACGAATGTGAATCTAAGAAATGCCTGGAGTACTCCGAATCTAGCCAAATGTACTTCGAGGCGAACAAGTCATCAGCATTTCCTGAAAATGAAACAATAACCGTTCCAAATATAGTTAGAGTAGTAAGTCTGCTCGTTTCAAGCTTTCAATATTTTCAAAATCTTCACAAATACTCCAATTTTATTTCAATAGGCGTGCAGATATTTATTCCCCAGTGATGAATTTTTAGTAAGAAAAGGCAGAGAAATATGTTGTTCGTCTGATGAAGTGTTCATGAAATCAAAGGCCAGTAAATTCATGTGGGGATTTGAAATAGACGTTGTTTTCAAAAAGGTCGAAAGTAGTTATGGGCTACTAACTAATGTAAGCTAAAATATTAATGCACATTGCCTGCATTGAAATTGTAGGTTGAAATTTAATTACCGGCATTTATTAATTCTCTAGCTAAACGATACGTTCGATGGACCTTTCACCATCAATACTGGCGAAGGTGATATTACGAAACTCGGAGAGTTGGAAGCGTTTAAGGGAATGACGTGAGCACTTTGAGTTACTTTGTGATTAATAAAATTATCTGAACTAGATTTAAAACTGTAATTTTGCTTAGATTAAATGACATTTGGGACACTGATTACGCAAACATGCTTAACGGAACAAGTAAGAATAAAAAAGTTTCATAAAAGCATTAAAAATCAATGAAAATTTGTAACCTTAATTTAATTTACCTTTTC